AGAAGTATTCTCTGCACTTCAAAAGAAACATTTACCCCATTACAAGTTTTCTGTCTTTCTTTTTTTCTTTCTTTCTTTCTGGAGATTGAAACCAGTCCCTGAAAATGCTAAGGAAGCATTCTTCTATTCCTTTCTCAGTTTTTCATTTTGAGAAAGGCTCTAATTAAGCTGCCCAGGCTGCTCTTGAACTCTAAACCTTCTGCCTCAGCTCGGAGTAGCTGGAATTACAGGCATTGCCATGCCCGCTATAAATTATTCTTAGTTCATTCTTCACCGAGGTCCCCTGCTTGGTAAGACCACCTTTATCACATGTGGCCAGGAATGTCCCATGGATAAATGCTCTAACTGTGTTGCTACTGAGCTTGTCTGGGGCCTCAGCTGGAAAATCCACCCAGAGCCTGCCACCTACCAATCATTTGATTGAGGTCTGTTGTGAGCTCAGTCTCTTCAAGTTTCCTGAGAGGTGGAGGGCAGAGAACCAGAACTTTGTGGTCAAGTAGAGTGTGGGTAACAAATCACTGTGTCCTTGGATAAGCCAGTTACTCAACAAGCTTCCAGGTTCTCATCTGTGCAACAGGGAAAAGATAATCCTCTCCTCACAGCAACCCTGTGAGGATTAAAAAACCCACACAAAGCATTGAACAATACATAGCACTCAGGAATCTTCAAAAAGTATTAGCTATCACACTCAGGGGACAAAAAGGACAATACATAAAGTCAAACTTTCCTCAGGGAAGCAGAGGCAGAAAAGCCCTCGGAGGCCTTTTTGTGAGCTTTGCTCCCTGAAATGGAATCCACGTGAATTATAGTTTTCCTCAGCTGAGAAAGCAAGCTAGGGGGCCTTTGGCCCAGGTCGCAGGCTCAGAAGGCTTGGACTTCAGCTGACACACAGTGGTGAGTCATACAGAGGAGCTAACAGATCTTGTCCCAAAGGTCAGCCATAACTGAAATCACTCACCCACACAGCTCCAGCTGCCGGTGGCTGCGGCTCCAATGCAGGAACCTCAGCCTGATCTAGCAGAATCCTGTCCACACACTGAGATATTATTCCAAGCCTCCCACTGTACTTCACGAAGTGTGGGCCCAACCACAGCCACCTGCCCCGGCGTTATTCAGTGTTCCAGCTTATTTATGAGAGACTGGGAGTTCATTTCAAAGTGTCAGCTGATCCTCAGTGGCTAGTGGGCCCTTCTACACCCAACATCTTCACAGAGGTTATCCTTCTGTGCCTGGCGGGGGAAAGGGGGTACTCTGCACTCCAGGAACAACCATCACGGTGTCTGTGGTGAGGAGCTACTGCGTCATTAAGTCAACCAAAAGTGCTGGGGAGCTGGGAAGATCTCTTGCTCCTCTCTCAGGCTGAGGCAAGATTAGCTGAAAGACCCAGAGTGGCTCTTCATCTCTCCTCTGTAGGTTTTGCCTATCCCTGGTGTTGAGAGACAATGGTGGAAACTGGTGCCATATGACAGCCTGGGCTGGACAGCAGTGCAGTGATTGCTGGAGAAATGAAGATGATGTGGAAGAAGCCAATTCACCCTTCCCGTGAGCCAGCAGCAGCCATGTGGGGCCAGGAAGAGAAACAAGAAGCCAATCTGCCAATCCCATGAGCCAGCCCACTCCCATAAGCAACTGGTTGATTTGGAGGATCACAGGCTGAGTTGATAGCAACTGAGGTACCAAAAAAACTTAATTCTGGTATTGTTTGATTGATTTTGCAGGCCTAAAGCCAGTAGTCTGAGCACCTATTTAGAGGATAACAATATGTAATATAGCAACTATGGGGGATTTCCTTCTGTTTTGTTTTTGAAATCCAGTATTGTTCTGTTTTATTTTGTTCCACTTTGTTCTTTTGTTTTCTTCAATGTGCTGTTTTGATTCATTTTATTCTGTTCTGTTTTGTCTGATTTTTATTATGTCTGATATGGGCAGTAATTTTGAAGATAACAAGAGGCATTATGGTTACCATTGTTGATTTCCTAGTACCCTGATTTGAAATGCTGTATCACTTTCACAGTTTTGTTTTGATTGGCTTTATTCTCTTTTATTTTGTTTGATTTTATTGCCTTTAAAATAAAATTTTGAAAAACATTAAAGATGATGCGGCTTCTCTCCCTATGAAGACATGGAAAGAAACTCAGAAAATGGGGGAAGAAATGAGACTGTGCATAGCTTTTCTCACTGAGGAAAATGCACAGTTCCCTTTCCTGCTTGGGTCACTCTTGAGAGTGCAGTGATTATTGGCACTTCTTCCTTTGGACTGCCCTGTCCAGCATGGTAACCACCAGCCACACATGGCTAATGAATGCATGATGTGCTGTGGGACACACAGTGAATTTTCAAACCTGGGCATGAAAACCTAATGTAAAATGTCCTCTTAATATTTTCTTGTTGATTATACACTGAACCAAAAATGTTTATATACTGCACTATATAAAATGTATTATTAAGTCTAGTTCATTTATTTTTAAATGTTTTAATTTGGCTATTAGAAAATTTAAAATTATACCTGAGACTCTTTCAGTGTGACCTAAAGACACAGCTAAATCCATGGAGTGAAATTATAACATTTTAATATGTTACAAAAATACACTGCTATTCCCCCACCTTCTTCCCAAGGACCTAGAGTCAATAACAAAAAGTGTTTAGCCAGACACAATTCATACCCATATTATACATTATGAAACTGAGGCCCAGAGAGAAGTGACCACCTGGTTTGTAGTTACCCTTGTGTTGTACTCAGAGGTTGTACAGAAAACAGTTAGAATCAGGACATGGAGTTTATAATATTGTTTTATGATGATCACCCAAAGTAAACACAAGAAAATGCAGGAAATCTATCCACAACACCAAAGACAGAATATTTAGTCAAGGGTCTAAATCCCACAACAATGTCCTACATGAGTCCAGATGAAAACCCAGAGCTCATGACAGTGCCTCTCACAAGTCCAACTGGAGGTCCAGAACCCACAAGAAAGACTCACACCAGTCTCTTATAGATCCATGCCAGGAAGGCCCAAAGGTCAGTGGTGGAAGCCAGAAAGTTCCTGCCAGCAGGGTGAAGGAGCTGTGTTGGTGGGATGAGGGTTCTACGCTGGAGCCAAGAAACTACACTCATAACAAAGACCAGAGATGTCCTGAAAATCACCACAGCCATCCTCAGTGACACGGAGGCCCCAGTCTCCTCTCATGACAAGCACAGTCGGGTACATGCCAGGAAGCAGCATGACGAGTTCATCCTGGAGACAAAGCGACACACATCTTCCCCCTCTGGAGCCAGGAAGCAATGCTTGAGGTGAGGATCAGAGCTTCTCCAGGAGAACCAACAGCTCAAACAGCAACATGTAGGAGAACCCACAGTGCCTTGACACATCTCAATGCCACAGCTTCTCCTCCACATCTCTATTTATGCTGGCAACTTTCCTCAGGTGGAACATCTACGCTCAGCGCCATGCTGATGTAATCCAGCTAGCGTTAAATTGACCACCAATACTTAATCCATAACACCTTATGTTGCTGCAGAGACTTAAAAGATTATTTCACACTCTTCTGGAAAAACACTAAGAAAGATCAGTGTCATTCCTCCAGAAAAGCTTTCGTAGCTCCATGCCTCAGAATGAAATATCTCAGCATCATTTAGCCACAAGACAGCTGGGCAGCAGCAAGATGAGGGTGTAGTCATTTCCTGCTGCCAGCAGACAGGGCTGGGCGCGAGCCAGCACTCAGCACATGGCCCTGCAGAGGTCTGGGTCTGGGGTCACCCAGAGACCTATTTGGATTGGCCTGCAGCACTGGACCATTTCTCAAATCATATGCCAATATTTAAACATTGGGAAACATCAGTAAAAATATGAGTTTCCGGTTTCCCTGGAAATAATTAGATCGGGTGACATGAGGCTTGTTTTCCTGCCTGGCAGTGGCCTGCTGGACTCAGCTGCTGCCTGCTGAGTGAGGTATCACCCTCATGCCCTATGCCACACCCCTCAAAGAGGCCCTGTGGGGCACTGGACAGCTGCAATCAACTTGGTCTCCAGTTTTTCTTACAGGGAAGTTAAGGAAAATGAAGTATTTTTCATACATATCTGCTCAGAAAGAAAAAGAAAAGAAAACCACACCAAAAAACAAGGTCTGTGGAGAAAGAAATTAGGAGAACAACATTCACAATAGCTTCCAGAAAAATTGAATACTTACAACCTAACCTAACCAAGGAAGTGAAAGGTTCCAAATGAAAACAATAGTGCTCTGAAAAAGGCGCTCCAAGGGGACATGAGAAAGTGGAAAGATATCCTCTGTCACTGCACAGGCACTTTTGAATGGTCAAGATGGCCACACTACAAAAAATGGCCATACTACATATAAATCAAAATACCAACAACATTCCTCACAGAACTAGAAAAAACAACTCTGAAATGTACATGGGATCAGAATAGCAAAAGCAATCCTGGGCAACAAAAACAAAGCAGGGGGCATCACAGTCCTGAACTTCAAGTTATATTACAAAGCTATAGTGATTAAAAAACAAAAAAAAAACAGTGTGCTACTGGCATAAGAACAGACATGTGGATCAGAGGTAGCAGAAACCAACCTAAGCACACTAACGTCTTCTGATCTTCGACAAAGGGCCAAAAGCACACACCAGAGGAAAGATAGCCTCGTACACAAATGGTACTAAAACTGGTTACACACAGGGAGAAGATTTAATCTAGGCCCATATGTAGTACCACACATCAAAATAAAATGGACCAAAGACCTAGCTAAGAAAACAGAAACCCTTAATCTGCTGGAAGATAAAATAGGTAAAACTCTTGAAGACACAAGTAAGGACTTTCTGAATGGAACCTGTTACAAAAGAAATAGCATCAAGAATCAGCAGATAGGATTATATAAAATTAAAAAACTTCTGCACAGCAAAGGAAACAAGTAACAGAATGAACAGACAACCTAGAGAACAGGAAATAATTTGGCAACTGCTCCTCTGTCACAGTACTAATATCTAGAATACATAAGGAACTCAAAAAATGAGACTGCTACCAAATAAAAGACTCAGTTAATAATTGCATAGCTGAAATGAACAGACACTGTTCAGAAGCAGAAACACAAACGGCCAATAAACACATGAAAAAATGTTCAACATCTCTGGCCATTAGAGAAATGCAAATTAAACAACACTGAGATTTCATCAAGGACAAGTAATAGCTCAAGAGGGACACGCACCCTGGGGCTTCTCCAGACCCCTCAAGACAGAAAATAAAAGGACACAATTCAGACTAAACTGCCAAAGGATGAACAGTCCCAGAGATGAGTGGCCTCCAGTGAAAAACATTCTGCTAGATGTTTTGATACTTTTCCTTGTCAGCCAGCTCTGTACTTGACACCGTGATAGCCTGGGCCACAGGATGCATAAGGGGCCACAGCCTGTCCTGTGGAGTGGGCTCAACGGCCAGAACCTAGCATCCCTGAGAGCCAAGAGCACCCCTTTCCTTCCCTCCCCATTGAAAGATCTGCAAGAGTGGTTCATAGTTTGACTCTGTCTCTGTCTTTGCAGTACTAGAGGTTGAACCCAGGACTCTAACACTGAGCTATATTCCCCCACCCTCTTTTTTCTGAGACAAGGTCTCATTAAACTGCTAAATTGTTCAGACAGAGCTCAAATTTACAGTCCTCCTGCCTCAGGCACCCAGAGTGCTAAGATTACAGTCTTGTGCCACCACTCCCAGTCTGCAAGCTCTTAATTGTCAGGAAGCTGGGGGATGATGGGTTCTTGCATCCAAATGAGCAGGCAGGACCAGACAGAGGGGAAGGACAGCTTGTTAGCGATGGAGAAGGAGAAGCACAGGTCCATAGATGTCAGAATGGGACAAGCCAGAAGAGCAAGACCTCTGCCCTGAATTTCCCTGCTGAGCGAGACTCTGTCTATGACCAGATTCTGAGAACACGGGGTCCTGGCTTAGCCCCCGTGCAAGACAGAGGGTCGTGTGGAAATAAAAGTCAGTCGTCAGGAGTCCGGCAACACCTGGGTAGCTCCGGCTCTGCAGGATCTGGGTATGAGGGTTTTACCTCCCCTCGGGGTGTCACAGGGCCAACCCTTGGGGAACCACCGTGGGTGACTCACAGAGGAGAAAGCTCATCCTCGGGGTACCCCGGCCCTGGGCCTTGTCTGTCTAGAGCGGAAGGGAACCAGGAGCCGCAGCAGACCGAGCCTCCCGCGCCCTGGGCGGGACAATGGCGACACCCAGTGGTGGCCGCAGGAAGGCGGAGAAGGGCCTTCGGAGCCCGAGCTGCTCTCTTGCGTCGCCTCCGCCGGCCCAGCTCTTAGCCTGGCTTCCGCGAGGACGGCGCCCCTGGCCCTGGGTTGCTCTTGGCGCTGCCACCTAACGGACATTTCATGTCCACAGTGGGCTACCCGGTTCCTTCCCTGCTCCCCCCACCCCGAGATCGAGTGGCTGCCTCTTTCGTGGTCCCGGAGATGCAACGCGTCTTCCACTTTGGTCTCACCCTGGGATACGTCTCCTGGTTACCCTGCCTCTCCCGGTAAATATCGCTCTTGCAGTCCTGTCTCCGGGCTCCTGGGAAAAGGGGCTCCCTGGGAACTGACGTCACTTCTGCCACAAAGGATCAGAGGAGCTCCGGAGCCAGGGCCACACCTGAGACTAGAGGAGCGCCCCAGCCCCAGGACCCAAAATAGTCCCACTGCGTGAAGTGTGGTATCAGGCCCATCCATTCAAAGCCAGGGCCACCCTACACATTCTACTTAATGGAAAAGCGCAGTCTGTCCATTAGGACTGCACTTTCTTATGCTTTCCTAGGCACTGGGCACATTGTTAAGAAAGTTGCATTCATTTTTCTCACACCAAATCTGAGATGATTGTTTGTATTTTGCAGATAAAGAAAACGCATTTGTAAGATGTTAAATAAGTTGTCAAAGGGTCAACAGTGAGTCACAGACTGTGGTGTGACATTGGGCTGACAAGCACTGGGACCTGCTAACCAGGACTGTGCACTGCCAGGCGTTTGCCAGTTACTGACTCGTGAAACATGAAAAATGTGATTGTGGAAGCAGTGTTTTCACTCCAGGTAAGACAGTTTGCCACTTTGTGCCACCTCTTGTTTGAGCGGTACTTTGGTTGGTCCTCAGTGTATCAAAGAAGGGCACCAGAGTCTAAAACCAGTCAAAAGCAACATCCATCTGCTCTAGTTCTGCCCCAGCGTGTTTCCAAGACTTGCTCTGATCCTGCCCTCTGTCCTTGGCCTGCCCTGCCTGAGGAGGTGCCGCGTTCCTAGTGCATCCCTGTAAAAACTGCACAGTGTGGTTTGGCCTGGCCTGATACTAACTTTTTAGACAGCAACCTGCCACATTAACCATGTCCAGTTCCTCATGTGCAGCCAGGGTCTCAGCAGAGTCACCTAAAGCCCCAGCATGGAGCCTGGCACAGTGCGCAGACACTGTATGTCTGAAGGATGAATGAATGTTGTTTTCATTATTTGGGGCAGCCATAACGTGGCTTACACAACAGAAGTTTCTTCTTTCACACTTGGAGAGGTCAGAAATCTAAAGTCAGGTGAGGGCTCAGCAGGGGAGATGCCTTCCTTGCTCTCTCCAAGCCATGGATGCTGGTGGTCGTGGTCCTTGATGTTCCTTGGGACCTGACTTGCAGCTTGCATCTTGACCCTGTGTCAGCCAGCTGTCTTTCTCCTTTCCTATAAGGACATTAGTCGTCCTGTACAGAGCCCACCTCAATGACTTCATCTTGACTTGATTACATCTACAACGACTCTGTTCTCACATAATGTCACATCACAGGCACCGGAGGTTAGAATGTCAACTTATCTTTTGTAGAGGCACAGTTCAACCCATAACAACCACAAAGGGCAGCTTGCTTGTGGACTGACTTTCACTTAAAGAGAGAGCTGTCAGGGCTCGGTTCATCACAGGAAGGTCAGTAGTGTTTACTGGATGATGTAGCTTAACACAGTTCAGAGATGGACTTGTTTCTCCTGTGACTCCTTTTCTTTTTTATTGGCCTATCAGTGATGCTTTGCAGTCACCATAATGATCGTGTTTACTCTAAGCTTAAGTGCCTATGTTTCTTTCTTTCTTATCAGTTATAAAATGGAATATTTACTTGGAATATAGCCTCTCTCTCTGGGCAGTGGCAAGGACATTCTACTGTCAAAATGAGTCAAGCTGACCTTGCAGTTTTACTGAAGCTCACACTCCTCTGTTAAGCCTCATCACAGTCCAGCCCCAACTCCCCTTCCTGACTGCTCCTCCATTCTTAAATTCCTGGAGCACCCCAGTGGCAGTTTGTCCTTCCCTGACACACTCACAAGCTTCCATCCCTGTGTCTTTGCTGTATCCTTTCTGGAAGCCTCTTCCCATATCCAGCATCTCCTTTTGAAATTCTTGCTAATCTTAAAGATTAGCCCCCGTTCAAAGGCAGTCTCTCCCAGAAAGTCTCCCCTGACCCCACCTTATCTCCCAGAAGGTTGGTGACCCTGGATAACCACTGGTAAACCACTCCCCACAGGCTACTTTGGTCAGAACGGTTTTCTTTCCTCCTCCTCACTTCCCTCACTAATCCAGAATGAAGAGATGTCTGGAGGCCCTCATGGAAGATACAATTGAGGGTGCAGGTGCTGTTTCCTTGGAAGAGATGACAGAGAGTCACGTGCTCCACGTGGCCTTCAGCTGCCCAGATTCTGTCAGGCTACAAGCTCCTTGTGGACACTATTCCTGGCTTCCTTGGCAGTCCATTACACACACATCTGTGCCTGGCATAAGCCGTGCTCAAACTCAACCTCCTGTTCAATGTAGGAGTCATCTCCTCTACCAGGTGACACAGGAGGCAGAATTCTAAGATGGCCTGAGGACTTCCTGCAGCCAGGGACATATGCCCAGAACAATCCCAGGACTGTGAAAGGATCTTGCCCAGTGCTAAGCTATGCAGTATGACAGATTGACTGAAAATAGGAAGATGACTTGGGTGAGCCTGACCTGACTCCAAGAACCCTCCAAAAGCAACTACAAAGAACTTTAAAGTGAGACATCTGACAAAGAAGTGCCCAGTGGCCAAGCTGGAGGGAGCCACATGGTAAGGACCTCGGAGTGGCCTCTAGAAGCTAAAAGGAGCCAGACCCTACTGACTAAGGAGCTAAGTGCCTCCAGCAAGACAACTGGACGCAGTTTCACAACTAACAGGAAATGAAATCTGCTGACAATTCAAATGGATCTCTACCTGGTCAAGCCATCAGACATACCTACAGCTGGCTGGACTCCTGACCATGGGAACGGTGAGCGAGTGAGTGGAGTTATTTTAATTTGCTCTGCCTATGAAAAGTATTCTATTAGCAATGGGAAATGGGCAATGCAAACTGTGTGAAATTAGGGATGTGTCAGAAGTCACTTACAACAGATTCTGGCTATTAACATATTTCAGCAAACACTGGGACTGATTTTTATTTATATTTTCCATTTAATGTATGGACATTATTTGAGACACACAAAGTTACATGGAAATAAGACTAAACAAACTGTTTCAATAAATGTAAAATAAAAATTATAAATGAAAAGACAGCATTGTTATAGTCCACCAGACCATATATTCTCTTCTCAGTAGTATGTGGTGCATATTATTATGAATGGTATCTTGTATCTGATAATCTGATGTATCTGATTTCATTAGTGTTAGCAGAAAGTGAACTTTATATGTGTATAAATGTATTGATACTAAATCCATTGAGAAAAAGACTAGATAGAAGCATATAAGCCACCTATGAAGAATTACCTTTGGTCTGACAGATGAACAGTAAAGAGGACTTTGCCACTGTACTTTGTGTCTCTGAGTCTTTACAACAATGCACACTACTCTATGAATTTAAAATATATATAACATATATTAGTATACATTATCATATAGTATCACCATATGTTAAGTAGTACATAAATTATAAAGCTATGGGAATATAACCCTATTTGGTGGACAGATCAATGGAACTGACTAGAAAGCTCAGAAATAGCTCAAATACAAGTAGGAATTTAAAAATTTTATACTATTTGTAGTGCTGGGGATAGAATCTAGGTCTTTGAACTTGCTAAGCAAGCTCTGCTACTGAGCTATATCGCCAGTTGTTTTGAAACAGGTCTCACTAAGTTGCCCAGGCTGGGCTCAAACAAAATAGCCAACACCCACAATTTAATGGAGGACAAAGTTACCTTGGCTCACGGTTTCAATCCTGGTTGCCTGGCTTTAAGGCAGAAACAGGATGGCAGAGGAGTGTGGTGAAGGGAAAGGTATTCAAGCCATAGCAGGCAGAAAGGAAAGAGAGGGAGGAGCAGGGAACAGGAATGTACCCTTCCAGGTCAGGTCCTCAGTGACCCACCTCAAACTAGACCCTACCTCCTAAGAGTACATTCAACTACAGAACTCGTCACTGGGGTTTCATGCCCCTACAGTTCAATCACTTTCCACGTGCATGAGAATTTGGGGGACACTTTATTATATATATTTGTTTGTTTGTTTGTTTTGTTTTGGTACCAGGGATCGAACCCACAACCGTGTGCTTGCAAAGCAGGCACTTATGCCACTGAGCTAAATCTCCAGCTTTAATATATTTTTTAAACTTTTTTTGTTTTTTATGTTTTGTTTTATCTTTTTGAGACAAGGTCTGTCCTCAGGCTGGCCTTAGGCTCACTTTATAGCCCAGGCTGGTCTTGAACTTGCAACAATCTGCCTGCCTCAGCTTCCCAAGTGCTAAGATTATAGGAGTGTACCACCAAGCCCAGCTTTTTAAAACTTTTTATTAGTATATATTTGTCACACATATGGATCACATTCATTATAGGGAATTTGCACCTGTATATATCCTAATCTTTTTTTCTACTCCCCTTCCCTACCATCAATCCTTCTCCTTTCCATTTATACAAACTTTGTTTCCATTTTTCTCTTTCAAGTCTCTCTGCATTTTCCTTCCCTTCCCTTCCTTCTCTCTGCTTTTTGTTCCCCTACCCATTTGAACATGCTGTTCCTACTTCAGCTTGAGGGATATTTTAGATCTAAATCATAACAACCACCATTTGGTGCAACTTTCCGCCATTAAATTGCTTTTGTCTTTGTCAAAAGTCTGCTGGGTATTTATGTGAGTTCTCCATTCTGTTTCACTGACCTATATCTATTTCTGACAGTAGCAAGTCTTCATTATGGTAGTTATGTAATATCTTAAAACCAAGTAAACTGATTACCCCAACTTTACTGTTTTTCAAAATTGTCTTAGCTATTCTGGTTTATCTTTACACATAAGTTTTAGTATAACCTTGTCTGTATTCAAAATTTTTCTGCAGAGACTTTGTTATGAATTGCATTAGGCCTATCAATTTTCATAAAATTTAGGGAAAACTGACATCATTACTGCATTGTGTTCCAATTCATGAACATGGTATGTTTCTCCATTAAATCTAGATCTTCAGTTCACCCACACTGTAGTTTTCAGCGTGTAACTCCAACAGATGTATGCTTAAGTGACTATAAATGGAATTGTATTTTTGTATCATGTTCACTTCTAATAAATTACAATTAATTTTTGTATGTAGAGCTTATATCCTATGATTTTGCTGGATTCCCTTATTAGTTACAGGACTTTTCTATATAGATAATCGTGTCATCTTCAAATAGGAACCACTTGTATTTCTTTGAAATTTTCATGCTTTTACTTTGTTTACTGCAGTACAGCCTTACCACATTGGCTAGAACGTTCAGCACTTGAACTAGAAGAGCTGGAGCTTTCAGAGTGATCAAGACATCTCTCCTTGACTTGTTCTGGACCTGAAGTGGAAAGTATTCAGTTTTGTGCCATTAAGTACAATGTTAGTTTTAGGATTTTTTAATAGGTGCTCTTTATGAAGCTGAGGTAATTTTTCTATAGTCACACTTTTATGAGTTTTTTTAAATCAAGCGTGGGCACTGAATTTTGTCACATGCTTTTTTCTGCACCAATTGTAAGATCTTTTTAAACCCAGTACTATGTTGGATTAGGCTGATTCCCAAATATTGAACCAGTCTGGAATTCCTGCAATAAACCTCACTTGATCCTGGTGTATCCTTCTTTTTTTCTTTTCTTTTTTCCTTTTTTCCCAATCTATTTTATTTCAAAGAGAAAAAAAATTAAAAAATTTCAAAACACAACAACCAGGGAACAACAATGGTCTTCTTTTTTTAAATTTTATTTTAAAGAGAACAAAGCAAAACAAAATGAAATAGAATAAAGCCAGTCAAAACAAAACAATGAAAACAATACAGGACTTCAAAACAAGATGATAGAAAATCAACAGTGGCTACCATAATGCCTCATATTATTTTTAAAATAGGTGTCCATACCATAACACATAATAAAATCAAGCAAAACAGAACAGAATAAAACCAATCAAAACAAAACTATGAAAGTGATACAGGACTTCAAAACAATAGATCAACAATGGCTACCATAATGTATCTTGTTATCTTCAAAATAGCTTTTCATACCATCAGATGTACTAGACTCTAACTAAGCAAAACAGAATAAAGCCAAATCAAATCAAACAATGAAAACAATACAGGACTTAAAAACAAGGTAATAGGAAATTATCAATGGCTACCACCTTCCCTTTTTAGACATTTCCTCCCCTTTCACCTTCACAATATCTATTGTACATTTTGGATTCCACTAACTCTTTCAGTTTTTGTGTGTGTGTCTTAATAATTTTAAAGGAAATAAAACAGAACAATAAGGTGAATCAAAATAATGACAAGACATTATGAAACTCACCACTGTTCCCACACTGCCTATTGTTGTTCTCCAAATAGTCACTCAGATTTAGGCTTGCAAGTCAACCAAACAATACAGTACCTCTCAGTCAGCTGGTTGCTCTGGTGGGGCGGTGCTCACCCCACCCACACACCTGTCGGCTCACAGGTAGGGGCTTTGCTTCCATCTCCTGATTCTTCTATTATATGGTGGTGAATTCAATTTCAAAAAAAATTCTATTAAGGATTTTTTCCATGGATATATATGACAGATATGTTCCACAGTTTGATTATATTTCCTGAGTGGTGCTTTTTATCAGGGTAATGCTAGCGTCATTAAATGAATGAGATGCATCTTCTATTTCATGGAAAATACTATTGGACAAGTGTTATTTGATGCAAATTTTCCAGTGGAACCATCTGGGCCTGAAGTTTTTTGAGGGTTTCTTGTGCGGTTTTTTTTTTTTTTTTTTTTTTAGATTTAAAATTAATCTAAATTCTATAATAGCCAAAGGCCTGCTCAAAATGTTTTATATTTCTTTTTTCAAAAAATTTCTTTTGTGTAGGCTGTCCAGTTTCTGTGTGTAGTAGTTCACAGCATTCTTTTACCACCCTTGTGATAGCTGCAATCTCGAGGGTTATACTATTTCATTCCTAAACCGTATCTTCTCTTTTCCTTTGTCAGTCTTGTTAGAAATCTGTCATTTTTACTCTTTTCAAAGAACTATCTCTTTATTGTATGGATTTCATTGTTTTTGTTTCAGTTTTACTGATTTCTTCTCCTGTCTGTTTCTTTCTGGCTGCTTTAATTTATTTTGCTGTTCCTTTCCTAGGTGCTGAAAGTGGGATATTGTGGGTAGTAGCACAGGCCTCTGGGAGGATGTGACAGCACTCTGGGAGGATGTGACAGAAGGACCCAAGTTTCAGCCCAGTCTTGGCAACTCAATGACTTAGCAAGGCCCTGTGAGAAATTAAACAAGGACAGGTTCAATTCTCAATACTGCAAATGCACATTTGAGATTTTCCTTTTTTTTTTTTTTTTTTTTTTTGTCTTTTTGAGACAGGGTCTCGCTGTGCAGTTCAGGCTGGCCTTGGGCTCACTTTGTAGCCCAGGCTGGTCTCGAACTTGCAGCAATCCGCCTACCTCAGTCCCTCTTTCCTAAGCTCTGCATTTAGCATTTCAAATTTCTTTTGGCATTGTTTTAACAATATCCCACAAATATTTTATTTCCATTTTCATTCAGCTCAGTGTTTTGCTTTTATAATTTCCCTTAACTTCTCCTTCTCCCATGGATTATTTATAAGTGTGCTGTGTGTTTTCAAGTGTTAGGGATTGTTCTTGCTATCTTTCTCTTATTGCTAGTTTGAGTAGTACGATGTGGTCAGAAAATACTTTGTATGACACTATTTAAAACTTGAATTTTATTACCCATGAAGATCTATAATGGTATATATTATGTCTGCACTTGAAAAACATACACGGTTTACATTTTTAAACTACAAATTGAGTGAACACAATAAAAAAAATTCAATTCATATACACAAAAAGGACCAGGTCAGGGTAACTGGCATGCATGTTACCTGAGAACTTTGTCAACTTCTTGTTGTTAGGAACATTCAAAATGCCCTCTACTAGCTATTTTGAAATATTAATTATCCTGTGCTAAAGAACACTGAAAGTTCTTTCTCCTATCCAACTGTACTATGAACCTGTTAAATATTCTCTCTCTGTTCCCAGAAAAGCTATGTTTTGTTGTTGGATCACGTACCGAAATGCCAATTAGATCTTGTCAGCTGAGGGTGGTACTGAGTTCTTGTATGGCTTTGACGATTCTGTTTAGCTTTCTGGCAGTGTATTGAAAGAGGGTATTGGGGGCTGGGGATTTAGCTCAGTGGCATAAGCGCCTACCTTGCAAGCAGGCAGTCCTGGGTTCGATCCCCGGTACCGATACAAAGGAAAAAGACAAAAAAAAAAAAAAAAGAAAAAAGAAAGAGGGTATTATAGTCCCTAGTTGCAGTTGCAGATTTACTTTTACATTCAATCATTTGTTTGTTATTGTTCCTTCACACTATTTTGCAACTCACTTGTCAGCACGTTCCATTTAGGATTATTACGTCTTCTTCATGGATTTGTTTAAGACAAGTTTTTGCCATATTGTCCAGGATGGTTTTGAACTACTGGGTTCAAGCAACCCTTCCACCCGAACCTCCTCAGTAGTTAGAACTACAGAGGTATTTTAACATACCTGACCAAAATGACTTTTTTAATTTTAAAAACAAAACAAAAAGGATAAAAATATACAATTTTTAAAAATAGTAGGAAATTAATTCTAGTTAATATATTGCATATTGTTATCTTAAAAGTAGTTGTTCAGATTAGAAAATTTAGGCATGAAAAAATCGTCAATGAAAACAAACTGTTCTTTTTGATGAACTCACAGAGATTAGTATAATCATCTGTCTTGTATACACATATACATACATACACACATCCACGTGTATACCTATGTACATGTAATCTTTTCCCTTCTTTTCTCCTTTCCCCACCCCAGTTGTGCTTTCCTTTTGAGCACTTTCTTTCCCTTTCATTTTCACAATATCCATTGTGGGCTGGGGATTTAGCTCAGCAGCACAAGTGCCTGTATAGCAAGTGTGAGGTTGTGAGTTCAATCCCTGGTACCAAAAAAAATTAAAAAACAATAAACAAACAAACAAACAAAAATCCCACAATATCCATTGTACATTTTGGATCTTCTTACTTGTTGTAACCCACCCAAAAAACAAGGCCCCATGATGAAAAACGGGGCAAGACCCCCGAGATGATAAACGGGGCAAGACAACGATGTCTTTTGTAGAAGAAGCGTTTTTATTTTAGCTGGCCCAGCAACACAGTGCAGATGGAATTTGCAAAGCTGTGTGACTGAGTTAGAATTTTGACAGATTTTTACAGTTCATTTATGATTAGCTCATTGATCATTAAGTACATAGTGATGAGAAACAGAAACAAGGTGGGCCTTTGCTCCCCTTTGCTTGAGGTCAGAGGCATTTGACAGTGGGTGGTTAGCCAATTCACAGCCCTTGGTCTGCCAATTCCAGGAACATTGGTCTCTCACAAAGGGAACAATTGTTGACACAGCATCATTTGTCTCTTACAAGGGGAACAAAAGTTGACACAGCAAATTAGGTTACTGGGGTGAGGGGGGGAATGATGCATTACAAAACAGCATGACTATGCGGTCAGTAATTTATAACAAATTTATAACAATGTGGTCAGTGCTCCAGGTACATCGTTACTAAGGCAATGAGCATAGAGTATAACATTACTCTTTGCTTTTTTTTTTTTTACACTAGGGAGATAATACAATATTTACACATGTGAATTTTATTTATTTCATTTATGAGTATGCTCACAAGTTGCATCCATTTACGTATAAAAGTCCCAAGTTTATCCTTCTTTATAGATGAGTACTATTTCATTGTAGAAAAATACCACATCTTTTTTATCCATTCCTCAAAGGATAGACATTTGGGTTGCCTCCAAGATTTAGCTACTACAAATTGTGCTGCTATAAACATGTGTGACATATATTGTTGCGGCATGATGATTTCAATTCTTCTGGGAAAATACCCAAAGGGGAATAGCTGAATTGAATGGGACTTCCAATCCTACTTTTTTGAGGAATCTCTCTGCACTGATTTCCACAGTGGTTTTACCAGTCTA